GGCGGAGCCGGCGCGGCCCATCTTGCCGTGCACCAGGCCGCCCAGGCCGCCCATGTTCTTCTTCAGCTTGATGCCCAGCGTCTTGCTGAAGCTGCCCAGCTTGTTGGCCACGGAGTCGGCGCGGGTCTTGTCCTTGTCCTTGCGCGGCTTCTCCTTCTCCTTGTCCTTGCCGTTTTTGCCGTTATTGCTGTTGGAATTGCTGCACACCGAGTCGCGGTCGGAGTCGAGGGAGTCGGCCAGGGACTGCACGTCCTCGCCCGCCGAGGCCGTCGGGGATTCCGGCTGCGCCAGCGGAGCCTGTGGGCGGAGGAGGCGGACAGGGAGGGCGGGACAGGAGGAGGGTCAGAGAGGAGCTGTCCTCGCGTGGGACCCACGAGACAGACCCTGTCCCCGCCCTGCACTGGCTACTGGGGGCGGGCATCCCGGTCCCGAGCCCCAGGACAGCTCTGGTGAACTCAGGTGAGGCCCTTCCGCAGGGAGCGCAGTGGCTCAGGTGCCCGAGGGCGGGAAGGGCCCTCGCCTGGCTGTCTGCTCAGGGCCCCGCGTTGGATGTGGGGATCACCACGGCCTGGACCTACTCATTGCAGAGCCGAGCTGCGCCCAGCCCCGGAGCCTCCTGATTCTAGGTCGGGAGGCGCTGCCTCCACGCCTCTCCCGGTCCCGGGCAGGTACACCCCCAGCAGCGAGGAGCAGACTGCGGGCACCTGACGGGCACGCAGAACCCGGGAGCCAGGCTGCCACCGACTGTGTGCCATCCGTAAAACGGGTATGATACCTGCCCGCTGTGAGGATTACATCCAGGTAAAGGGCCCAGCCGGCATGGCTCAACGGGTGAGCGTCCACCCATGAACCAGGAGGTCCCCAGTTCGATTCCGGGTCAGGGAAAGCGGGGGAGAGACGCGGGGCGCGTGGGGACCAGCGTGGGTTCCCCGGCTTCCCAAGGACGTGCCCGCGGCCTCTCATGAACTCCGCCCCGCGCAGCACCTGGTTCGCATCTCGCGGACCTCGTGTGTGCGGGACCTGCCCACGGTTTGTGTGCGGAGTGCGCGTGTGTATTCTCTCCTGGGGAAAACGCAGGAGAAAAAATCCCCCGGCAGGAGCTGCGCCTGCCCGCGCAACCACGCGCCTGGGAACCGCCGGAAGTTCGTCCCGCCAGAGCCCGGGGG